CTTCTTATTGCTAGCATTTCAGTTCTGCACTACCATGCCCAGCTAATCTCTCCCCATCTTAATGAAGCAGTTTGTATGTTCACACCAATCAGAGTATATCATCATTCCAACCTCTAGAACTTCTAGGCTGGTTTACTGTTATTAATCTTCAGTAGCACCAGGTACAGTGGCTTACTTCTTTTATACTAAATATTCAGGAGGCTGAGATCTGAAGATCACTTTTTGAGGCTCACCAGGCAGGAAAGGCTGTGAACTCTTCTCTACAATTAAACACCAAAAAGCTATAAATAGAGCTGTAGCTCAATTGGTAGCGTGCTGGCTTTGAGGGAAAAAAAAAAAGCATAGATGTAGGTCTTAAGTTCAAGCCCTAATACTGGTACACACACACACACACACACACACACACACACACACACACACACACACACACACACACACACACACACACACCACCTTTATTAGTAAAATGTCACGCATATATTTTGTGTAATTTCAAAGTCACCTTTTATCTGCCTGTTCACATTCCTTTTCTCTCTTGTCCCTCTCATCAATATATGGCTGATTCTAGAGACGGGTGAGTCTGTAGCAGGACAGCTTATCATGCTGAAGTACTTTAGGAGACAAAGGGCTGGGCCTACAGTGCAGTGAACTGTAGCTGCTTAACTCATGGATTTCCATGGTATCTTAGGAACCTTACCACCTTCCAAGCCTGCCATCAGCTGTTTTCCTTTGAGATTTTCAGGATTGCATGTTTCGTTGATACCTCCATTGGTTAATTGTTGTTGTTTTACTCATACTCTATTATTTAATATTTAGAACAACTTTTTCCGCTTTATAATTAATATTGGCCAGTGTGCAATTGTCTTTTATAAGTGCCATTGTATGCAGGTCTTCTGTGTGGCCTGGAAGGAAAAGTGAGGAGCATGAAGCCTGAGGTACTCTGTGGAACTGTTGGAGTAGGTATGGGGATAAGCAGACTCTTATGGAACAGATTTTAAGCAGACAGGGAAGATGCTTGAGGTGATACTGAATCAGTGAGTTCTTACATCTTTGAATGTCCCATCTTCCTGTGAACTTTCCAAGTGTGTTTAATGGTGGTTATTTAGCATTTAATAAGTTTGTATAAAAAACTTATGGGTACTTTGTGCTTTTAGGGAGCATTCATAAGTGAAATTGGCTGGAAATAGCAAATTTTAGGGTCAGAAGGGCAGTGTTGAGTTCTGGGTTGGTTGTGCATGTGGGATAATCAGAGTGCCTGTCTCACCACACAGGGTCAGTATAGGCATGACCATTATCAATGGTAGCTCAGAGCATGCTTCCTCAGGTACCTCTAACCTTTTTCATGAATAGAATAAGCATTATAGTTTTAACAAAAGTTAATGGTTATATTATGTGGGAGGAAACAAATATTTGATTTTATTGCTCAACAAAGAACACAGGGATCATGGATTCTCCCATTTGCTTTGTGGTTACCCCTTGGACCTTCTGTGAAAAACTGATTTCCAGAAGTGGTGTGGGCCTTCTCATTTTGTAATTGTTTATTTTTGTTTTAATGTTTTATACTTTTCCTTTTTTAAGAGAAAAATATACTCTCAGTCATTAATGGCATAGTTGTTAGTTTGCTGAGTAAAAGGGCCAGGAGATTTCGGGCAAGAAGCCTAGATTAAGGCCCTCATGTAGTTGTTTCCCTGTGAGTGACCTTGGGAACCTGGAAAGTCACTGGGCAGTCAGGTTGTGTGATCTCTGAGACACCATCCTGCTTAGATTTGATGATCTTTGTCTTGTAACTTTGTGACCATATTTCTTCAGCAAAATTTTTTTCTTCCTCCCTCTTATTATCGTCACATATTTATACAAAGGGATTTTGGTTTAACATGTCCATTTATATATACAGTGCACCTTGGTCAGTGTCATCCCTTCCATTCCTCTCCCCCCATCCTCTCCAGAAATACTAAATTGCACTGTTATGTAGCTCTCTATCAAATATTTTGAAAATGCTTAAAAGACCTATCTGAAGCTTAGGGATATCATCATTCCATTGTTTTAAAGTAGCAGTATGGTAAGATGTGCCCTGTGCTCAAAAACGTTCCTGTACTCCACTGAGAACAGGGTTATAACTGTGTCACTGGTAGCTGTTGTGGCCTTGAACAGGTTACTTATTCTCTCAGGGGCAGTAGATGAGATTTATGGATTAACATTTTCTAGATTATGGGCTCTTGTAAACTTTGCATTTCTTTTCCATAGAAATGCAGCTGTGCTCAAAGTTTTTGCTTGTAACCTCAGGCAGTTAAATGGGACAAACCCATCCTGGACGCCCTACATAGGAATCCCTAGAGAGAAACTCTTTTTGTGTATGTGTGCTGGTGCTGGGGCTTCAACTCTGGGCCTGGCCACTGTACCTTAGCTTCTTCACTCATGACTGGTGTTCTACCATTTGAGCTGTACCTCTACTTTTGGCTTTTGGGTAGCAAATTGGGATAAGAGCCTCGCAGACTTTTCTGCCTGGGTTAGCTTCACACAGCAATTCCTGATATAAACTCCTTTTACCTTCATAATAACCCTGCAAGGTAGGTGCTGCTCTTAATCTCATTTTATAGATGAGAGGATGCTGAGGCACAGCACTGGATCAAAGGCTCCCAGCTTCTATATGTTAGAGCCAGGAACCCAGGCAGCCTGCTGCAGAGCCTATGATCTGAATTAATATGCTACTACCTTAAGACCTGGCCAATTTCTGTCAGAGGGAATTAGAAGGATTCCAAATACATGGAAGTGAACAAAAAGAGATTGGAGAGGTCTGCTCTGTATAGTCATAAAGGGATCTAGACTTACTGGCTATAGAGGAAGTAGTAGGAAGGGATAATTAAAAGTGAGATGATCACTTTTTGTGAAAGTGGGCAGAGGGCTAAAGACAGAATTTATTGCTTGGTTGGTTAGTTTTTGTTTGGAGATAGGTTCTCACTGTGTTGTCCTGGCTGGCCTCTTAGCCTCAAGAGATCCTTCTACCTCAGCCTCCTGAGAAGCTGGGACTACAGGCACAAGGAAGATGCTTGGGGTGGCACCAGCTTTTAAAGACTTTTTGAGGTAACTATGTTTAGAAAATGGAACAAGAGGAACTAGCAACAAGATGAAAAATAAAAGAGAAGCACCTGAAAAGAACAAAGTAAATTGGGGGGAAAATGGAAAGAATGGGGTCATCAGCAACCAAAAGAATAAGCTGTGATGAAGCTGGGTGCTGGTGGCTTACGTCTGTAACCCTAGCAACTCACGAGGCTGAGACTGAGAATCTTGAAGCCAGCCCAGGCAGGAAAGTCCTTTTATCTCCAAAAAACCACCAGAAAAATGGGAAGTGGTGCTGTGGCTCAAAGTGGTAGAGCACTAGCCTTGAGTGCTCAGGGACAACACTCAAGCCGAGTTTAAGCCCCACAGCTGACCAAAAAAAAAAAAGCTGTGATGGAGAGATTGGGCCTCAACCATGTTCTGTCCTTTTCAGTAGAATACAGGAAATTATGAAAGAAGTAGGTGAGGATGGTTAGAAAGAAAAGCAGCAGGGCTGGGAAGGTGGCTCAGTGGTAGAGCGCTTGCCTTGCATGCATGAGGCCCTGGGTGCGATTCCTGAGCACCACATAAGCAAAAAGAAAAAAGCCGGAAGTGGCGCTGTGGCTCAAGTGGTAGAGTGCTAGCCTTGAGCTGAAGAGCTGAGGGACAGCACCCAGGCCCAGAGTTCAGGCCCCATGACCGTACCACCACCCCCCCTCAAAAAAAAGAAAAGCAGGTTCTGGGGCCCTCTGACTGGATTTACATCAAGGCTTGGGCAAATCACTTCCCTTTCATGGGCATCATTATAGGTGATAAGTGTGAACCACCTAAGTTTGGTATACACACACACATTCAGTGCATACACACACACACACACACACACGCACGCACGCATGCATGCATATAAGTGCTCAGCACTCTTTCTGCTGCTCTAATTACTGGTACTGGCCTTCTGAGATCAAAAGTTTTTTGTGACGTAACTCCTTGCATGATCCTGGAGTCAGGTGAACTTTCTCTTGAGTCCCCACCACATACTGCAGCTGTGTCTTGGGCAAGTTTCAGAGCCCTTCTAGCCCTGGTCTTCCTGACTTGCAAAGTGGAAAAATAAAGTTTCTCCCAAGCTGTGGAAGTTAGAAAGCCTTCATGCACAAAGCTCATGACTCCCCTCATTAAAAATACAACTTGAATCTTGCACTCTGAGCAGCCCTTTTGGATTTTGAATGCCTTACCCAGGCAATGAAGGACCTGGAAATACAGTCCTTGGATATTGCCTGCTCTGCAAATAGACCTACAGCACAGCACCACATCCAGGGGATGAAAGGTGAAGCATATGCCCCCACCTAAAGAATGTGTGGGCATCAGGACTTGTACAACACTTTAGAACACTGCATCTCAGGAATTCTGAGCAGACCTTGCACAGGCTTCGGCCACACATCTTGTTCTTATCCTAAGAATGTGCCCTGCTGTAGGGTGTTAGTCATTGTATAGACCTCTGTTTCTTGTTCCTAAGGATACTGGCCTTTGTTATTTGAGCTTCAAAAAGAAAATAGAGGCCAGACCCTGGTAGCTCATGTCTTTAATCCTAGCTACTCAGGAAGCTGAGATCTGAGGATCACGGTTCAAAGCCAGCCTGGGCAGGAAAATCCATGAGACTCATCTCCAATTAACCACCAGAAAATCAGAAGTGGTGCTGTGGCTCAAGTGGTAGAGCACTTGCCTTGAGCTGAAGAGCTGAGGGACAGCACCCAGGCCCAGAGTTCAAGCCCCTGATTGACAAAAAGAAAAAAAAGAAAAGAAAAAGGAAAAAGAAAGAAAATCCATGAGACTCTTATCTCCAGTTAACCACCAAAAAATTGGAATTGGAGCTGTCAAAGTAGTAGAGTACTAAGCCTTGAGCAAAAAGAGCTCAAGGACAGTGCCCAGGCCAAGTTCAAGCCCCATAACCAACAACAAAAATAGAATTGCAACAGGTATACAGCAAATATGACTATGTTTATTTATCTTAGAATGGAAGAAATAGTGATGTATATATGCTGCCCTCTGGATAGCAGCGAGGAAATGGGGAGCAGGACTAAATGTCCTGGATTACATGGATGTGTAAGGTCAGACCTTGAGAGAATTAAGCCCCAATGCCCAGGGCCCTGGACTTAGTTGGACACCCTTTTGGGAGAGGCAAGAAATTAGTCATGTGAGTCATTTCTTGCTCTGTGTTCAAATGAGGGACATGTATGAGAAAGGCTTTGAGAATAGAGACAGATGTGCAAGGATAGGGCCTTTGCAATGCCCAGGAAGGAGGTGTCCAAACACACTTTATCAGCTTGCTGTGAGGAGGAGGTGAGAAGGTGAAGCAATCTGTCTGTTGTTCAGACCATCTAGAGAACATCTGACCCATGGATTAGTTATACTAATTCCACTGGACTTACACCATTGTTTACTGTGCAGAATTGTCTCCAACCAAGCTTCTCAGTCCTTGGCAAATTCTTTACATGAATTCAGATTGGCAGCCTAAACCTCAAAAGTCATGATGCCAAAAAAAAAATCTCTGTCCTCATTGTTAGAAGAGAAACAAAACCAGAGAGTACCCCCAAAACACATCAGGTGCCCAGACTGCTGCCACTAAGACCTAGTAGGGTTGGCCACTCTTCCCATGAAGAGCAGGCAGCTGGTGCGGTGTTCATACACCAGGAACAGAAAGGGGCGGTCAACAGTGAAACGGACTTGAGTGGACAGTGGCATGAAACCCACTGTGGTCACAGCAGCAGCTTGAGTGCCCTCTTCATTCACTGTGATGGTGCTTTCGTGTTTGAACTGGAAATTGGAAAGGAAAAAGTGTCAGATTCTATAGCATTCTCTGAATGTTTTCTCATTTAGAGAAAAGATCCAAAATCCACATAGAAGTGAAAAATCACAGCTTGTCAAAATTACCCTTGAAAAATATCTCTTATCACCTTGTTAGAATCTATGTCCTATCATAAATATTTACCTCCAAACTCTAGAATCACATTCACTCTGGGCTGTGCTCAGTCTGAAAGGTCTTCAGAGTCTAGATAGCTCCTTCATTTGAATCTCTTCCTCAAAACTCTGGGGTACATGCCCATTAAGGATTCAGGCCTGGATCTGTCATTACATTTGACCTAGTGTTTACTCTCTTTTGCTCATTGCCTGTTGTTGGCTTGTTAAATAACTCAGTGTAGTGCAGCTTCTCTATGTGTTGAATGGGTCTTTCATTGTTCTGATGGGCATAACAGTCATACACACTGTAGCACATTTCCCTTGGTTGAATGACAGCAGGAGTGGGGGCATACTCCAAGGCTGCTTCCTGTGACCATCCTGTCCATGAAACATCTGGCAAACACACTACCTCCCCTAGTTGATAACTGCAGAACGGAACTGTATGTCACAGGCTGACCTGGGAAGTAAGACTGGGTGGTAATGGGCTTGGAAAGATGGGGAAGTTGAAGCTGTGCTGAGGCAGAGCCTAAGTGCAAAAAGGGAGCAGTTACCAAGTCAATGGTTATCCTTTGGTCCGAGATTCCTGACATGTTGCCATTTTTGTCAAACAGCTCAGTAATCCCCATGGACTTCAGGGCCTCCACGAGATTATAGTTCTTCTCCAGCTTGAATTTAGGTAGAAGCACTTCTCGAGTTCTAGTTAGAAAACAAGATTGGGGCCCAGTTTTACTAAACTATGAGTTACAAAATAATCATGCTTTTCTTTTCCTGTTAAATATGTACAGCCTAGTATGTGTTGCATTTACCACAGAATTGGCATAGCACTTCTTAATTTTGTTACCATTATTGTTGTAAATAATACAGGACATTGCATTAAGTATCATAGAAGAGATGACTTAAAGTATATGGGAGGATGTCTGTAGATTATTATGCAAATATATCAGTTTATTCAAGAAACTGGATTTTCATCTTGATTATCCTCTGAGGATATTGAGTGATAACTACATAAAATTGATGTTTGGCATTCTCTGGCATTTATTTTGTTATCTAAGGAGTTGACCAGTACCTTAAAAAAGAATCCTTCACCAGGAGTGGTGTCATGTGCCATAATGAGGAGGAGTAAAAAGTAAGAAGTAGAGGATTGAGAGGCTAGCCAAGGTTACATAATAAGACCTAGTCTCAAAAAAAAAAAAAGGGGCTCACCGGGCGCCAGTGGCTCATGTCTGTAATCCTAGCTACTCAGGAGGCTGAGATCTAAGGATCGAGGTTCAAAGCCAGCCCGGGCAGGAAAGTTTGTGAAACTCTTATCGCCAATAAACCACCAGAAAACCAGAAGTGGTGTTGTAGCTCAAGTGGTAGAGTGATTGCCTTGAGCTGAAGAGCTGAGGGACAGTGCTCAGGCCCAGAGTTCAAGCCCCATAACCAAACAACAACAACAAAAAAAAGGCTGGGAAGGGGAAATATATACCTTAGAGCTAGAACTGTTTTCCTAACATGCATAAGACCCTGGGTTCCATCCCTAGCACTGCAAAAATAATAATAATGATAATTCATATGTGTACCAGACAGTACTAAACATCCTCAGTCCTCACCTCAAATCATTCAGTCTCTAACAAGGTGAAGGAAGACAGAAATGCCTGTGGGGCCAGTTTTAGCATTTTGTGAGGGACAAAAGAATTATAAGATGCAATTGATTACACTTGCCCTTCTTAAGAGTGAAGTTGTGGGGCTGGGAAGGTGGCTCAGTGGTAGAGCGCTTGCCTTGCATGCATGAGGCCCTGGGTTCTATTCCTCAGCACCACATAAGCAAAAAGAAAAAAGCCGGAAGTGGTGCTGTGGCTCAAGTGGTAGAGGGCTAGCCTTGAGCTGAAGAGCTGAGGGACAGCGCCCAGGCCCAGAGTTCAGGTTCCACGATCGGACCCCCCAAAAAAAAAAAATTACAAAAAAAAAAAGTGAAGTTGTAAAAAAAATAAAAGTAAGCCTCGTGCCTGTGACTCAGGCCTGTCATCCTAGCTACATAGGAGGCTTAGATCTGAGGATTGTGGTTTGAAGCCAGCCGGGGCAGGAAAATCTGTGAGATTCTTATCTCCAGTTAATGGGAATAAAAAACAAACAAACAGAAGTGGTGCCATGGCTCAGTGGCTCAAGCGGTAGAGCACTCTTCTTGAACTGAAGAGCTCAGGGACAGTGCCCAGACCAAGTCCCATGACAGACAAAAAAAAAAAAATTAAAAAATAAGAGTAAAGATGATGGGGTTGGGAAGGTGGCTCAGCGGTAGAGTGCTTGCCTCACATGCATGAAGCCCTGGGTTCAATTCCTCAACACCACATAAACAGAAAAGGCTGGAAGTGGCACTATGGCTCAAGTGGTAGAACAAACCTTGAACTGAAGAGCTCAGGGACAGCACCCAGGCCTAGCATTCAAGCCCCTCAACTGACAATAAATAAATAAATAAATACATGCAAAGATGATACAAGGAGCTGCTGTAGCTCAGTGGTAGAGCACTTGCCTAGTATGCACAAGGTTTTGGATTCCATCTCCATCACCACCACTCCCCCCACCCCCCCAAAAAAGGCACATTAATATCTGAATTACTAGAAAGGGGCATGTTGAGAGATGGAGGGGATCAATGTGTAAGCAGAAGTTTGGAGATAATTTTTTTGTACATAGAGGTAATAACTTTGATATTATTCAGCAGTCTCTTTTGTGGAGGGAAGATGAGGCCTTGGGAACATGAGGCCTTGGGTCTGGTTGGAGTGTGGGGAAGAGGCTGGGTAGGAAAGAGAGAAGATGCTAAACAGACCAGACTAGGAAGCAGGGAATCTGTGGACTGGGCTGAGAAACTGGGCTGGCTCCTTTGGATGGGGGTCCACAGAGAATTTCTGAGAAGAGGGGAATGGAAATGATAAAGGGAATGCTGGTCTGATGGTCAGTGCACCAGTGGACAAGGAATGGAACCAGCAGGCTTATTTGGCCTTGCTGGGGTCAGGATGGAGGTCACAAGCCAAGGATGTTAGGAAAGAAGTGAGTACGCAGAGGGGTCTTTAAAAAAAAACAAAACATAGGCTTTATAACTAGTGGGATACTTGGGGAAATTACATTCCTGTAGAAGAATTGTTTTGGGGCTGGGAAGGTGGCTCAGTGGTAGAGCGCTTGCCTTGGATCCCTGAGGCTCTGGGTTCGATTCCTCAGCACCACATAAGCAAAAAGAAAAAAAGCCGGAAGTGGCGCTGTGGCTCAAGTGGTAGAGCTCTAGCCTTGAGCTGAAGAGCTGAGGGACAGCGCCCAGGCCCAGAGTTCAGGTCTCACGACCGGACCCAAAAGAAAAAAAATTATTTTGGTTCTGTTTTACTTTACTTTTGTTGTTGTTTTGGGAGGGTTTTTTTGTAATGGGGTCAGGGGTGGTAAAAACAGTATAAATAATAGCCCAGATTGGCCTTGAACTCATGCTTTTACCTCCCAAGCACTGGGATTGCACATGTGTGCAACCATGCCCACACTGCTTCTGAGTTTTGTGCATTTGTTTTTATTCTTGTCCTATAAACAGCACCAAACTAGGTTCATTTTCTCATTATGACCATAAACGTTTCCAGTGAAACAGACATGTGACCAAGCTCTCCATTCTTTCTGCTATGATCCGATAATAACCTCAGAAAATATTTAAAATCAACAGGGTCAGCTCTAGAGAATACTCAATACTCAGACTAGACAAAAAGTATAAATAACATGTCCTCAGAGAGTTAAGAAAGCCTCACAATTTCCTAGGTGCCGAAGGAGACTGCTAATCTTTTTTGGATGCCTCTTACATTCCAGACATTTACCTTGATCATGGTAAATAATGGTATGAACTCCACTTTAGGCTTGATAGAGCTGGGTGAGTAGTTTTGCACACTTCTTTCTCTATTTTGTTTTGTTTTGTTTTTAAAGACTACTGATGCCAAGCACTAGTGGCTCACACCTGTAATCTGAACTACTCAGGATCCTGAGATCCGAGGATTGTAGTTCAGAGACAGCTGGGGCAGGAAAATCTATGAGACTCTTATCTCCAATTAAGTACCAGAAATTCTGGAAATGGAGGTATGGTTCACGTGTAAAATGCTAGCTTTGAGCAAAAAAAGCTCTGGAACAGTGCCCAGGCCTTGAATTCAAGCCACAGGACCAGCATGGAAAAAAATGAAAGAAAGACAAGAAAGAAAGAAAAGAGAGAAAGAAAGGAAGGAAGGAAAAGAAAAAGACTATCATTTTAGTGCTCTTAGGAGCTCAAAAGAATAAACATCCTTAAAGTACCTGTTTGTCATGCTTTTCTGCCATCTCTCCACCACCTGTGGTGTCAGCTGGGCTTCAAGAGTCTTCATCCCTGACAGCTTGTGTGGGACCACAATTAGCATGCTGATGCCCCCCACATATTCCAGCTGGAGAACATCACAGTCAAGCTCCTGGTCATTTGCCGCAAGGAAGTTCCCCTTGGTCTGCATCATGGAGACTTTGACCACCTCTCTCTCATTCAGACGGAAGTTGTGATTATGTGTCATTTCCACTGGGAATTTATTCACCCAGGTTCCTGTAAACTCAAAAGGAGTAGGGCAGCTATTACAATTTCATTTGGGCCTGGAAGTGGGGCTATGACTGAAAGTAGTTAGGTGCTAGCCTTGAGCAGAAAAGCTCAGGGACTGCATCCAGGCCCTGAGTTCAAGCCTCATATCCGACCAAAAAAAAAAAGAACCTCAAAAAGAACTTCATTTTACCCCTGTGCTTGCATCTCAGTTCCTTAGGGGGCTCTGTAGGGCCCATCTTTGATTTCTAGAATGGGTTGGACTGAGAATTTCATTTCTAACAAAGTTAACAACAGGGATTAAGTAGACTAGAATGACTTCTGGGTTAGTTTCCAGGGCCTCTTCTCTGTAAAGTTGGTAGCTTAGAGTTTCTTTCTGCCCTGTGTTATTAGGATATACAAGTTATGTAGTGCTGCCTCAATATTCTCTCTGCAAATTTGGGTTCAGAACTGTGCATTGAGGAATAAAACCATGTCCGTTTTAGCTCTAATAATGATTAGTGACTAGGTGACTACTGGTGATGTGCCAGCCATTTATCTGGTCATTTTCCCTGTATTACCTCATTTTGTGCTTCCAGCAGCTATTTTTATCCCTTTCTCTCTTGGGGTGGGGGGAAGGGTGAAAAAGGTACCTGCCTCTGTGTGTGTGTGTGTGTGTGTGTGTGTGTGAGCGCGCGTGCGTTCACACGTGTTACTGGGGCTTCAGTGCAAGAGCCTGAGCACTAACCCACTTGAATCACAGTTCCACTTCTAGCTTTTTGCTTGTTAATTAGAGATAAGAGTCTCAGAGACTTTCCTGCCTAGACTGGCTTTGAACTGCAATCCTCAGTCTTAGCCATCTGGTAGCTAGTATTACAGGTATGGGCCACTGCACCTTGCATTTACTCCATTTTACAGATGAGATAACTGACACAATGAAGTAATATATTTAAAAGTTTTGAACTGGTAAGTTGAGCAGCCAGCTGATATAAATAGTAGATATCTATCTGATCGTTAACAAAGAGATACATAATAAAATAAAACTTTAGTCCATAAGAAAAAGGCTTTGAGCGGGGTGCCGGTGGCTCACCTCTGTAATCCTAGCTACTTAGGAGGCTGAGATCTGAAGATTACGGTTCAAAGCCAGCCCGGGAACATCAGTGAGACTCTTATCTCTAATAAGAAAACCAGAAGTAGCACTGTGGCTCAAGCAGTAGAGCTCTTCGCCTTGAGCTGAAGAGCTGAGGGACAACACCCAGGCCCAGAGTTCAAGCCCGGCAACTGACAACAAAATAAAAAAAAAAAAAAAAGGCTTTGTTATTTCCACTGCATACTGCAAACTCAATCACATGGTATCTGTGAAGGAGACTTAAGTACCAGACAGCTCCAGTCTGCCTAATTGTAGCTCAGTTCTCTGAGCCAGCCTTACCAAGGATTTCTCAATCACAGCACTGTTGAGAATTAGACCAGGTAGCTGTCTATGGTGTGGGCATTGTCCTGTGCAGTGTGGGGTATTTAACAGCATCCCCTCTTGGATACCATTAGTGCTTCCCTCTTCCCTCAGGTTTCAGTAGCCACAAATATCTCCAGACACCTGCCCTGGACCCCACTGAGTATCACTACTCTCCTCAACTCTGATAGGAAGAAGCCCATCAGAAGCATTAACAAGTAATTTTAATACTTTACATTAGTAACAGAGATTTGAGAGCTAGAAATGAAGATTATACTTCTACAATCTCCTCACCTACGAGATCCATTCATGAAAGACTGGGTGATCTCTTCCAGTACCCAGCATGACTGTTCTAATGGGACAGGGAAAGGCAGCTTATATGTTTACCACTTTTACACTTTGATGTAAAATAAATTAACTGTCCAGAGATAAATTAAGAGTTAGACCAAGTGGCTCATGCCTGTAATTCTAGTTACTTGGAAGGCCAAGTTCAGAAGTATTAGTTTCAAGCTATCCCTGAACAAAAACAAGTTAAGAAGACATTCTCAATGAAAGAAGCATAATGTTGGCACATATTTGTCCTCCCAAGCACAGTAAGAAGTGGATCAAGGTCCCAATCAAAAACCTTATCTTGGACTGGGATGTAGCTTAGTGGCAAAGCACTTGCCTAGCAAGTACAACAACCTGGGTTTGCTCTCTAGTACCAAAAAAGGAGAAAAGACTAGTAAAAAAGAAAATAATGCAAAAGGGCTGGAGATGTGGCTCAAACATAGATTGCTACATGAGCCCTGGGTTCAAATCTCAGTACCACTGAGAGAGAGCGGGAGAGAGAAAGACTAAACAGGCCTAGTCACTTCTCCACCGTCATGGCAACAGAAAGGGCTTCCTCTTTGAAACTCCAGCCAGGGTTAATAAAAAGTCATCAGATAACCTGATGGTAACTGTCAAATGGGTAAAAACCTAGGGCTTCAGTGCTACAAAAATGTCTTCCACTGAATTGTTTATTGCTAGGCATAGGTTTATTGCTTAAAATAAACGTCATTAGTAAATCTTACATTCTTTATATGGTGTTAATTTTACTCAAAGGGATTCTTAGGAAAATCTCAAGTTTGAAGCCCACCTGGCTATATATCAAGTCCTTGCCTCAAAGAGAAAAAAGTAATTCAGGATTTCTTCAAATCTGTGCCACTTTATTCTTACGATTTCAGGGGTCCTGTGTATACGTGTATGTATATTTGTGTATTGAGTGAGACAATACTTCCTTAAAAAGTGCTCTTCTTGCCTGGCCTAGAACAATTGCTACTGGCTTTTTTTTGTGGGGGGGGGGGGGTCTGGTCGTGGGGCCTGAACTCTGGGCCTGGGCGCTGTCCCTCAGCTCTTCAGCTCAAGGATAGCGCTCTACCACTTGAGCCACAGCGCCACTTCCGGCTTTTTCCTTTTTGCTTATGTGGTGCTGAGGAATCAAACCCAGGGCCTCAGGCATGCAAGGCAAGAACTCTACCACTGAGCCACCTTCCCAGCTCTGGCTTATTTTTTTTACACTCCTCCCACCACCAACCCCCACTTATTAGTACAGAAGTATCCCCAAAAGGAACTATGGTGTTGATATCAGCTGAATCATTCCAGATACATTTCTTCATGGTTCTGTCCATATTCCTGCTTGCTGGTAATTGGGAAAGAAAATGAAGAGACTCAAACTCAGGCAGCCAAATGCTAAGAAAGGGGGAACCCTAAAATAAGCACAATGGTCTCACATGTGGTACGATCTAGTGCACATATAAAGCATAATTAGGGCTCAGTAATGACACCTCATCATGATTTTGTCTCTCTACTAGTGTCAATTAATGTCTTGTTTTCCTGAATAACTTAGAGCTTGAATAGTTCTGTCTATACATGTACGGAAAGAACATGTTGAGCTGGGTGTTGGTGGCTCATGCCTGTAATCCTAGCTACTCACGAGGCTGAGATCTAAGGATCACAGTTCCAAGCCAGCCCAGACAGGGAAGTACATGAGATTCTTATAATCAATTAACCACCAAAAAGCCAGAAATGGCACTGTGGCTCAAGTGGTAAAACACTAGTCTTGAGTAAAAGAGCTCAGGGACAGCGCTTAGGCCCCTGAGTTCAAGGCCTAGGACTGGCAAAAGAAAAAGAGTATCTTGTGAATTGGCTTCGAGACCCATAAAGCTACTTCTTACCTTTGAAGTAAATGCAGTTTAGAATCATCATCTGAGTATGGGGGTCTATATTCTCCAGAGCTTCTTTGATGAAGCCCTTGGTGAGCTTCAGAATATGATGATTTGTTTTTGCTATGAAGGCAGGGTCTGAGAAGTCAGCTGCCTGGGCCTCAGCAAAATAGAACTCTTTCACCTTAGTTTTGAAGTCATCCAGAATGGGAAACTGCCTCTGGATGTAAAGGTCATTGACTGATCTCAGTGTGTATCCAAAGTTCCTCCTGAAGAGGCGATGCGTTAGCTTGCGGAATAGATTGTGAACAGTTGTGATCTCATACTTGCTGCTAGCATTAACAAAGTCTTTAAAATGCAAAACCGAGTGCACTTGTTCATGTGTGTCTCCTCTCAGGCCTAAGGAAATCATCCCCATGGCAGTAGAAATGCCAACAGGTGCTATGAAGATGTTATCGAAAGTGTTGACTTGGTCCTTCAGTCCTCGATAAAGGTTGAAGGCAAATTTCGCATTAAGGATGTTAAGACGCTGAATTCGGCTCTTGCCTTGGAAAAGCTGTAGGATGTTGCCTGCACTCAGTTCTGAGTCTGTTGGGGAAACTGCATCAATGATGTAAATATAGTCATCATCTTCGCTGAACAACTTCTCCAGGTCCAGATAGTCGTCATCTTCCTCCCCCTCCTGAATCCAGTCATTGGTCACCGTGTTTTCTTTGTGGAAGTCAGCAGGCAAAAGGGGCATACTCAGGTTTTTATTACTTAGCTGATCAGCAAGGCCTTTGCTGCCTCCACACACACACATTAGGATGAGAGAAGCAAGAAGAGGGTGGAATGGGTACTTCATTTTGGCAGAGCTGAACTGGGAGGGAAAGCAGACAAGGTTAGAGGCGACCTAGTCAGGTCCCCTACCCACCCTCTTGCAGAGTTCAGACTGTAAATAGCTTAGGTTCTGCACGTGAAGAAAATCTGATAAAGGTAGATCCCATCGGATCCATGGACTCTAAAGGAAAACCCTTTCTTTAAAGGCTTATAAAACTTTATAGATTCCTGGGCCTCCTAGGAGAAGTTTCTTTTTTATTCATTTACCAAACACTGTCTTCTGTCTTCAGAAAGCACTCACTAGGCTCTAGAGATACAGAGGTCTTCCCCACTGACAGATGAAAGCATCAGTCTTGTGGGGTGCATGCACAGTAAATCGAACTCTCAAAATAGAGCTTGGAAAGCTGAGCATAAGTGGCTCACGCCTGTAATCCTAGTTACTCAGGAGGCTGAGATCTGAGGATTTCTGTTCAAAGCTAGCCCAGGCAGGAAACTCCAGGAGACTCTGATCTCCAGTAAACCACTCAGAAAACTGGAAGTGGTGCTGTGGCTCAAGTGGTAGTGAGATCACCTTGAGCTGAAGAGCTGAGGGACAGCGCCCAGGCCCAGAGTTCAAGCGCCACGACCAACAAAAATAGAACTTAGAAAGCACTGTGGAAATGGGAAAGAGGATGTGGTTTACCTCATAAGTTGGGAGTGGCCAGAGTGTTGAGGCTCCACTAAGAAGTAGAATTCCTAAGGCTGAAGGGAAATTTCTGGTGGAGGACTTGGTCTTGTCTGTAAGATTCAAACCATCCCACCTGTAGGAAGGAGGTATTGAAGAAAAGTGCATGAGCCAGGCTTTCTATTTATGTGTTTGTTTGTTTGGCTAGTATTGGGGCTTGACCAGTCCTTAAGGTTAGTGCGCTACCATTTAAGCCACAGCTTCACTTTCAACTTTTTTTTTTTTTTGGGTCCAGTCGTGGGGCCTGAACTCTGGGCCTGGGCGCTGTCCCTCAGCTCTTCAGCTCAAGGCTAGCGCTCTACCACTTGAGCCACAGCGCCACTTCCGGCTTTTTTCTTTTTGCTTATGTGGTGCTGAGGAATCGAACCCAGGGCCTCATGCATGCAAGGCAAGTGCTCTACCCCTGAGCCACCTTCCCAGCCCCTTCACTTCCAACTTTTTGGCTATTAATTGGAGATAAGCATCTCACAGACTTTACTGCCTGAGCTGGCTATGAACTGCAATCCTTAGATCTCAGCCTCCTGAGTAACCAGGGTTACAGGAGTAAGCCATCAGCACCTGGCTGGGCTAAGATTTTAAAAACAGATAATCTAAAGATATTTGAAATCTGTGCAGTCATTTAATATTTATTTGTGTAAAATTTGAAACTGGTTTGTAATACTAGGACTACCTTGTAGCCTATTGAGATGAGACTGGTTGGTTGTCTCTCCTGACAACTCTGTAGAAGATTTAAGTAAAGTTAGTTATATTACTTACTATCAAGAGAAACAAAATATTTTCTATTTTATTGCTTCTAATCTCACCAGGCAGACAAGGCCTGTCAGACACTCTGTTTCTGTGTATGAGGTAAGTTGCTAGCTTCTTGAACCAGGTTAGCTTATCTTTATTTACTCATCCTCTGAGTCAAGGAGGATTTGACGTGGCTTGTCAAGTCCATGATGCCTGTGAGATGGCTTTGTCTTGTTCCATCTATATGCTTCTCATGTATGAACTGTGTATAGGGTAGATAATCTGCTGTTTGATGCTTCCTGTAGATGTTTATAATGCTGGCCCAGGCAGGTCAGCAACTTCTGCTCATCTTAGAAACATGAATTGTATTGTTTGTTATATTCCTATGACTGTTTCCTATAGAATATCCACTACCACTCTAGGCTGTCAGATACTACACTTAATTGGCTTTGTTAATGCTGATAATGAAAACATACTGGTACAGCCTCTGTTAATGTCAAGCACTGTATAGTGTACTTTTTCTAACTTTACGCCTCTCCCCACATTACATATCAGGAGATATTGAGCCTTTTGTTGCTGTTACTGACAAGTGCTATGGTTTGGGTTGGAGGTTAGGTTAGTGTTAGAGGGTTTGCCTAGCATTCCTAGGGCCACAGTGAATAAGTGGGTGAATGAACAAATGGATGGATGGATGAATGAATGCAGTGTCTAGACTTGAACTAAGTTGGTTGAACACCCCTCACCCTAGATGGTCTGTGTCAAGTGCTCTACCTTGTTCACTCTGGAGTGCAGGATTCTCCCAGTATTCCCAGACTTGAGGAATAGTTGCTTCCATTGTTTCTGAGTCTTCCTCCTTTAGTTCTATTAAAACAATCTACTCCAACACTATTTTGTTCCAACTGAGAGACTTTTGAATTGCACATTTTAGAGAGAAAGTCACATAATTTCTTTTCCTTTTTTTTTTTTTTTTTTGGGGGGGTCTGGTCGTGGGGCCTGAAATCTGGGCCTGGGCACTGTCCCTCAGCAATTCAGCTCAAGGCTAGCGCTCTACCACTTGAGCCACAGCGCCACTTCCAGCTTTTTTCTTTTTTCTTATGTGGTGCTGAGGAATTGAACCCAGGGCCTCATGCATGCAAGGCAAGCACTCTACCACTGAGCCACCTTCCCAGTCCAAGAGAGAAAGTCACATAATTTCTTACTTTGAGAAATGTCTTAGCCAGGTGCTGGTGGCCCATGCCTGTAATCCTAGCTACTCAGGAGGTTGAGATCTGAGGATCATGGTTCAAAGCCAGCCCAGGCAGGAAAGTCCATGAGACTCTTATCTCCACTTAACCACCAGAAAACTGGAAGTGGCGCTGTAGCTCAAAGTGATAGAGTACTAGCCTTGATCAAAAGAGCTCAGGGACAGCACCAAGTTCCTGTGCTCAAACCCCATGACTGACAAAAAAGAAGAAGGAAGGGAGGGGGGGGGGGGGCCCCGGCGAGGAAGGAATCCATTGTTTTTTTCAACCTTCCCTCTAACCATCTTGCTAAGATAGCACTGGCATGCACTTGTGGAACAAAGTCTCACTTGGTGCCGGTTGCTTACATCTGTAATCATAGCTACTTTGGAGGCTGAAATCTAAGGATCGAGCTTCAAAGCCAGCCTGGATAGGAAAGTCTGTGAGACTCTTATCTCCAGTTAACCACCAAAAAAACAGAAGTGGTACTGTGGCTCAAGTGATAGAGCACTGGCCTTTTGAGCTGAAGAGCTCAGGGACAGTGCCCAGGCTCAGAGGTCAAGCCCCACCACCAACAAAAGAAAATAAAAGTTCCTAATGTGTGGCTGCAAATAGAACTGGGCCATTTCCAAATACAATAAGGGATAGGTATCAATGAAAAGACATTTAAAAAAGAAGAGAGGAAAATGAGCAACTTGGTGAAAGTCACGTTGCTCAACTACATTTAAAAATGTCCTCAGTTAGAAAATAGAGTTAAAGAACAAAATAAAAGCTAACTTGAATTTTTAAGTTCAGGAAAAAAAAACCTGTGGCCAAATAGGGAGCTGGAGGGAAGATAGTCATATGCTAATCCTGGTATTGACAGAGCATATCTAGAAACTTATACTGTGTTTTTTCCTACATTATATTATGAACAACCAAGAATACTTATTATTCCCTTACCAAACAAAGGAACATGTCATGATATTTTCTATGGATTAGCAATTGAGGATATAAAGAGTGACTTATATAAAAAGTGACTTCCTATTGTTTTGTTGTTTAGTATAATACAAATTGTCTAAGGCATAATTTTGGGAGTGGGGTATATAGTCTCAACATGAAGCCTAGGCTGGCCTTGAACTCACTCTATTGGCCTCAAACTCAAAATCCTCATTCCTCAGGTTCCTGAATGCAGGGATTACAGGTGTGTGGTACCACACTTAGCTTCTAGTTTGAATAATGTTATTTAGATATAATGCTTTGATCTCTTCCACAGCTTTTATTGCAAATTTGTCTCAATGATATAACTAGTAGGAATTTATAATAGGAAAAAAACCCCACATTTTTCCTACTGCTTAGAGTAGAAAGCTTCTGAATTGTCTTTGATAAAGGAACCAGTTTCCTATGTCTAAGCACCAAAAGTAGAGATTTATTATCAGTAGAAAATGATAGGAATGGAACTTACCTCTGTACTTCTGAGAAGCAGCTTTACAGAGATGCGATCAGCCAGGGTCGCCCGCAGGGTTTCAATGTGAACTTTGGTGCCGAGCTGTTGCTGTGTATTTTCCAAAGTAAATATGTCCCAATTCAAACACTACTCATCTCGCATGGTCAGCAGAAACCCCCTCAGCTATGTCTTTGATCGCTGCTTAGTGACTGGCAGCTCCCAGGCTCCGGTTGGTCTGTCACTGAGGTTTTGGATGTGACTGCCACTGTGTCAACATATAACACATAACAGCCTTCATGCAGAAGCCTTCACTGAAGCCAGCACATAACTGAGGCACTGCTCAGTTCTAGGGGGGTGGTTACATGGAGAATAGCTACAGTGCTCTCTTGTCTTCCTCCTATGGGATGATCACAGCATCCGACTAGCCTCTGCAGCAGACATGGTTGGTTTGGCGGCTAGACAGATGTCCCTATCCTTCCATGATCTCCACAATTTTTTTGCGGGGGAGGGGGGAGTCCAGTCGTGGGGCTTGTACTCTGGGCCTGGGCGCTGTCCCTCAGCTCTTCAGCTCAAGGCTAGCACTCTACCACTTGAGCCACAGCGCCACTTCCAGCTTTTTTCTTTTTGCTTATGTGGTGCTGAGGAATCGAACCCAGGGCCTCAGGCATGCAAGGCAAGCGCTCTACCACTGAGCCACCTTCCCAGCCCTCCTTCCATGATCTCATTCCTTAGTAAAACATGAAGGGGCAGAGTAAGGTTGGTGGTAATGGAATTAGGAAATTATGGCATATACCTTTTTTCAGTCAAGGGTCACTGTGTTCTGTGCTAGAATCTACATCCAGCTCTCCAGTATGTTATAAGTGAGAGGAATAGAGGAATATTACTGAGCTGAGCTTTCCAATCCCAAAGCAACTTAGGCATTCACAGGAATCTAAGAGCTAGAGTAATTGGGGCAGAGTGGGACAGTATTAGAGCTTGAACCCAGGGTTTTGGACTTGCTAAGCAGCCACATCTCCAGCCTTTCTTTACACAGATAACTTTTGAGATAAGAGTCACTTCCTCGTCAGGCATGCTCTGTTTACACTTTCCATGAAGCTAGAATGACAAGCATGCACCCCCGTGTTCAGCTGCTAGTAGTTGAGAAGGGGTCTCGTGAATTTTTTCTTGTTTCTCAGAGCTTTCCTCTGTCCTGCCAGTCGTGCCATCAGTGTGGTGACATCCTGCTACTCAGAGAGGCTCTTCCCTGTGTCCAGACATCATAAGCTGTGCTCCTGGCTGGCTATCTGTTTTCTGTCATATTCTCACACAGATGAGCCCAGCTCCAGAATGCAATGGGGCTGCTCCTCTCCCACTGTTCAGGAAGCCACACTGATCATCCTGGCCACCAACCTAAGCTCACACTCAGTATTCTTTCCTCTACAGTGAAGATGATAATTATCCCTGCTGCACAGGAGGGTTGTGATAATTTACTTAGCTAATGTGTACATGGAAGGTTTGGAGTATTCCAGGCACATAGTAGACCTTCAATAATGATAGCTGTGTATGTATTCACAGAAAAGGTTAGGAAGTTGGTATGGCTTTAATTTTGTACTCTGTGCATGCTTGAGCTCATGTGTACATGTTTGTTGGTTTGTTTTTACAATGTTGCTGGATATTGAACTCAGGAGCTCATGCATGCTTAGGCAAGCACTCTACCACTTGACCTATGTTCCACCCCTACATTTAAAAATCTGTAACATTTTTATAGTTTTACCTTTTTTTTTTTAACTTGACATATTGTGAGTTCTATCTACATTACCAGGTGATTATAAAAAATACAATTTTTTTTGGCAGTACTGGGGTTTGAACTAATACTTCTGGGCAGGTACTTTATAATCACTTGAGCTATGCCCCCCAGCCCTTTTGTGCTTTCACTATATTTTTCAATAGAGGTAGGATTTGGGGTGCAGTATATTGGAAGATATTTTAAGTTTTTTTTTTTGCTTTTTTTTTTTTTGGGTCCGGTCGTGGGGCCTGAACTCTGGGCCTGGGCGCTGTCCCTCAGCTCTTCAGCTCAAGGCTAGCGCTCTACCACTTGAGCCACAGCGCCACTTCCGGCTTTTTTTCATTTTGCTTATGTGGTGCTGAGGAATCGAACCCAGGGCCTCAGGCATGCAAGGCAAGCGCTCTACCACTGAGCCACCTCCCCAGCCCCAGATATTTTAAGTTTTCATGCATTTTACCAAATTTCTTCCCAGGAAGTGTTGTGTTATAGTTCTACCAGCTATTGGTGTGTGTATCTGTGCAATGGTTGCCACTATCTGTCCCCACACTGTGCCCGTAGCCCACACTTGGCACTTGTGTTTGAGTAGAAAAGGGTCCCTTACTGCAGGTGTACAGGAGTTTTATAACCATTATACAGGAGGCTCAGCATCCTTGCTTTTTCTGTGAGGACTGATCTGTTCAGCTAGCCATTTTGTGCAAATTTAACCATTTTTACATGACTGATGAGCCACTCTGTCCCTCACACCCAATCCAGATGGTTTCTCAAGCACTGATAAATCAGTTTCTTGCTTGGTGCCTTAAGCAACAACATTTCTACCTGTTTCACATGTTGGGATTCTGGTCAAGATTACTGTTTGAAAAAGTCAGGCTGCCAGGCACCAGTTGTTTGCATCTATAATCCTAGCTACTCAGGAGGCTGAGATCTGATAGTTGAGGTTAAGATCGAGCACAGGAAGATAAATCTAAAAAAGTTGTTGTTGTTGTTGTTGTTGTTGGGGATGAACTCTGGGCCCAGGTGCTGTCCCTCGGCTCTTCAGCTCAATGCTAGTGCCCTACCACTTGAGCCACAATGCCACTTCCAGCAAGACTCTTATCTCCAACCAACCATCAAAAAGCTTGAAGTAAGAGGCATGGCTCAAATAGGAGAGCCCAAGATGCGAGTGAAAAAGCTGAGAGCACAAAGCCCTAAGTTGAAGCCTTAATACCAGTAAAAGAGGAGAGGAGAGGAAGGGAGAAAGAGAAAAGAAGGAGGAGGGGATGGAGGAGGTGGGGGAAAGGGTAGACAGAGGAAGAAAAAGAAATAAAGAAGTCAGGCTGCTGAGAAATAAAGAAAAAGTCAGGCTGCTGAGAAATATTCCACCACAAGATTTTTCACCATCTCCCCACCACTCCAATGCATCCCTTTTTCTGAGTGCCAGCACCTCTTCTTCCATCCCTGGCTTTGGACCCTGGCTTTGGACTCGTTATTGCGGCCCAGGCTGCCTTCTCTTCTCAACTAAGCTTCTCAAAACAGCTTCTCTGAAAACTACGTCAGTGTGATTGTTTGACTACCTGCCTCCCAGCTCATTGGAAAGCCCTTTTGAGTACAGACCACCAAGGTTTTTACCTTCAGGCCCAGTACCTGTCTCAACTTATACATGAATAAATAAATGAATGTACTGATAAATGGTAGAATTACTGAGAAGCTCCAGCCACTGCTAAGTGTGCCTTTGTCAGCCAGTGTGACTTGCTGAATCTTTTTTTAAACATTTTATTACTATTGTTGTTGTTGTTATCTTTAAGTAGTTGTACAAAGAAGTTCCCATTCTACAAAACAGTATATGAATACAAGGTGTCTAACAACATTGTCACACATCGCTCCTAACCCATCCCTTCTCTCACTTTTCTTTTTTTTTTCCTGTTGGTTGTGGGGCTTGAACTCTGGGCCTGGGTGCTGTCCTTGAGCTCTTCAGCTCAAGGCAAGTGCTCTACCACTTGAGCCACAGTGCTACTTCCTGTTTTCTAGTGGTTTATTGGACTTTCCTGCCAGGGCTGGCTTTGAACTACGATCCTCAGATCTCAGCCTCCTGAGTAGCTAGGATTACAGGCGTGAGCTACTGGTGCCCAGCTCTTTTTTTTTTTTTTAATTGAGATTAGGTGATTACATAAATTTCACATATTTCACAGTTTTGTGGAATAGTCACAAACACATTTTAACCTTCACAAGGCAAATTGTCATTATCATGGTCTAAAAAGTTTGTGAATTCTGGGGCTGGGAAGGTGGCTCAGTGGTAGAACGCTTGCCTTGCATGCCTGAGGCCCTGGGTTCAATTCCTCAGCACCACATAAGCAAAAAGCAAAAGGCCGGAAGTGGCTCTGTGGCTCAAGTGGTAGAGTGCTAGCCTTGAGCTGAAGAGCTGAGGGACAGCGCCCAAGCCCAGAGTTCAGGACCCACGACCGGACCCAAAAAAAAAAAATAAAATAAAATAAAGTTTGTGAATTCTATGAGCTTTGACAGTACAATTATTTCTTCCACATCAGGTGAGGTTTACATTTCTTTCCTTTTGCTTAATGTAAGCTGTTCCCTCTTTCCCGCTCATTCCTCCCTTCCTGTTGTTGTCTTTGGGTTGCTTAGTTCTTTTTCTTCTATGTCCAGTGCAGCTGATGGGCCCCTTTGTTGTGTGTTGTTCCATTTCCCACTTATTCTGCGTCCTCTTCCTGGCTTCCCTCCATTGTGTGCATATATGTATACCATACCTATGTTCAAGAATATGGAATCATTTAGCAATGATAGACAAAATGAGTGGCTCTCCTTTGTTTCTCTAGTACTGTTTACTTTGTCATATCTCCTTGCATTTTGGCTTTAGCATCCATATATCAGGGAGACCATATGCTTTTTGTCTCTTTGTTCTTGGCTTACCTCATTCAAAATAATTTGCTGTAGTTTCATCCATTTCCCTGCAAATGCCATTATTTTGTCCTTTCTATTGGCTGCGTAATATCCCATTATATATAGGTACCGCAATTTTTTGATCCACTCATCAGTAGTGGGGCATCTGGGTTGTTTCCATATCTTGGCTATTGTGAACAGTGCTGTAATAAATATGGAGGTACATATGTCCTTGTATACTGGTTCCTGTTGCTCAGGGTAGATGCCTAGGAGTGGTATGGCTGGGGCATAGGGGAGGTCTTTATTTAGCTTTCTCCAGACTGCTTTCCAAAGTGGTTGTATTAGTATACAATCCCACCAGCAATGCAGTAGGGTTCCTCTTTCTCCGCATCCCCTCCAGCGTTTGTCATTGGC